ACTGCCTCACACTATGACTGGTACTACGTTTAGTAAATGTTGAGCACAATTGAAACAATCAATTTTTCTTCACAAAAGTAGGTACTAATCTATCAAAAGCAGGTACCACGTGGAATAAGATGCGGTACTATTTTGTCCAAAACTGGTACTATTTTCAGAATCGCGATTTCTCTAATCCTTCATGTCTACCATGACACGTGGATCGTTAATGTGTGATTTGGATGAAAAATAGTGAAAGTTAAAACATATAGGTAGAAATTGGAGTAGTCATGTATGATGATTGTATGAGATGGAGTGTAGTAGTAGTGGTTTTTCATTAGTGCGTTGAGTTCGTGACCGATATGTGATTAAGGTTCATAAACCAAATTTTAAATCTCACATAAACTAAATTGAGAGTGGCTATGGGTGGTATAAACATCCTTTGCGACCAATATTCGGTATTTTTATGTATTCATTACATGTGGTACTAAAAACCCTAAAACCGGTACTAATATAAAGAAAAAGTGGTACTACCTTACTCGGTTGTGTACGTATCGTTCGGTTGTGTACGTATCGTTCGGGACGACTTCGTCCTTGCCCGAGGAGCAGATTTTCGAGATAGCTCGCGGGTTGGAGAGAAGTGAGTGTAAGTTTTTGTGGGTTTTGAGAGATGCAGATAAAGGTGATGTCTTTGCAGGTGAAGTTAGAAGAGCTCCATTGCCACAAGGGTTTGAAGAGAAAGTCAAAGGGAGAGGGCTGATTGTGAGGGATTGGGCCCCACAGTTGGAGATTTTAGGACATCCTTCTGTAGGTATTTGTCTTTACTCCAATTTTACCAGGGAGTTTCTTTTAACGTTATTAATTTGTGTGCAATTTTTTAGGGTACGAAATAAACATGCTAAATTTACAGGTGGTTTTATAAGCCATTGTGGATGGAATTCTTGCATGGAGAGCATGAGCTTGGGTGTGCCCATAATAGCATGGCCGATGCATTCGGACCAGCCGAGAAATGCGGTCCTAACGACGAATGTGCTGAAAATCGGCATCCAAATCACGGATTGGGAACGTCTTCATGAAATAGTAAAGTCGGGTGCGATTGAGAAGGCTGTGAAGATGCTAATGGCGTCCGAAGAAGGCGATGAGATCAGGAAAAGGGCTGAGAGATTAGGGATTGCTGTTAGGGAGTCTTTGAAGGAAGGGGGAGCTACTGCCAAGGAGATGGATTCATTTATTGAGGATATGAAGAAATAGAGAAGATATAAAATAAAGCTCAACATCAAATGATTAATAATAATAATAAGGAATATTGAAGAAATAAAAAGGGTTTAGACTGTTTGGTAGAAATTTCAAATTAAGTAATCACTAGTGTGTGTGTGCCTTTTTTCTTTGAAGTAATTTCAAATTAATAATAAACTATTGTGCTAATCAATTATCAATACATACAATAAATTATAGTCTAGAGTCGGGTCAAAAGATACATAATTATTCTATGAAATTTTATATATATATTTTTTTTTTTAAGTATTACATTTCAATTTTAAAGTAGTAAGCAGAAAAAATTGCAAATTTGGTCCCAAAACTTTTACTGTTTTTCATATTTTGTCCCAGGCACGATCCTCCTTAATTTTTCGTTGCCAAAATGGCCCTGTCAAAACTGACGGAGCTCCCGTGAAGACGTTAGATTGAATTAATTTTATAATTTTTCAGAAAAATACAAGATAAAAAAATGAGTTCTTCAAGTTCGTCAATAAGAGAAGAACGTGCAAGACATTAGCAACTTTTGAGACCAATCATATGAGACAAATTCGATACTTTCATATTTTTTAACTTGAAAGTCAAATTAGTCTCTCTCATTCACTCAAAGCCTAAATGGCGTAATAAAATTAATTTACTATGAATATGATGCGAAAAATAAATATTAAAAATAATTTTATAAAAATAAATATCGGGTAGAAAAGTAAGGGTGTTGATAAATTTCAATTTGGGGTGGGAAGTAAATGATATAATTGCTAATTGAGTTTTTTTACTTTATTTTCTAATTTTTTTTTACCGTCATTACATTAAAAATATTGGCAATTATTTGAATATTATTTAAATTAAAAAGTTAATTAGAAATAATATTATTTTAATTAAATAAAGCAAACCAAAAGACATAATATAATTTATCAAAATAAGAAAAAATGTGAGTATGCTTACAATATACTAATCCGTCTATACTTTTAAATATGAGTATAATGTGATAATTTAGATATATCCTTACAAACTTTATAAGATAATACGAATTTAAAAAAAAAAATGATCTAAACTATTTTTTTATTGTCTATTATTATTTTAATATTTTTTATTTATTAATTTGATTTTGACAACTATAATTGAAAAATCTACTTATCTATGCAACTTACATCTACATAAAAAATGTCAATTTTAAAATAAAACAAAATTTGACATTAAATTAGAAATTTTCTCCCACTTATTTATAGTAAAATATATCATATATTTTTTTTTTTTTTTTTGCATCTCATTTATCATGAACTAATTAATAAATTTTTTTTATACACCTTTTGTTAAGTTACTCAATTAAATAATCATTTTACGTACAAAAAAAAAATCAAGTTAAACTTTAATTTACAATAAAAAAAATGTTAATGAATTGTATGTTAGTTATATTTGTCTTTTATAATTTATTAAAAAATAAAATAAATGTATTGTTAGGAAAGAATGGTAAAACTACATTTTTAACATTTACTAAAAGTTTTTTTAAAAATATGTTTCTAATAAAAATAAATTTAAATGATTAATTTTTATCACTTACTCTTTTAAGTTGCGAATATATATATATATATATATATATATATATATATATATATATTATATACATATTAGTCATATTTATCTTTTATAATTTATTAAAAAGCAAACTAAATGTATTGTTAGGAAAGAATGGTAATATACCTTTTTAACATTTACAATTTTTTTTTTAAAAAATTATTGCTAATAAAAATAAAATAAATATATTTTCTCATTTACTTTCTTAAATATATTTGTATTTTTAAACAAATTTATTGATATGTATATGTTTCAAGAAAATAGGATAAATCAACTTTTCCAAAAAAATATATAGATTTTGGCATAAGATAAAAATATACTTTAATTTTCATTAAAAAAAATATTTTAAAGTAAGTCAAACTTTTTAAACAAAATGTCAATTTTCCACTTTTAAATTAAACATCAAAATAATATAGCTTCTCTTCTAGACAAACTTGAAGAATACGTTTTTCTTTCTTTTTTTTTAAAAAAAAAAAATAAAATTGCAAAATGTGGTCCCACTTGTATGAAAAATGCAAGTTTAGTCCTAAAAAATTGCAAATGTGAACGTTGACTAACAAATTAATGAAGAAGACTCTTAAGTCTTGATAGAATGGTATCATTTTGGCAACGAAAAATTAAAAAGGATAAATGACGTGTCTGTGACCAAATGTGAGAAGTAGTCAAAGTTCTGGGACCAAATTTGCATTTTCTCGTAGTAAGCATATTTGTTAGAAAAATACGGTTGTCTGACAGTCAGACCTGCAATTTCGATACCACTAACAAGGAATATCACTTCAAAAACTTCGGAGCTTGATTCTATCACGAATTCCAATAAGTACAATCGCATATCTATTGACATAAAATATGACTCGATTTTTAGCAGATGTGCAAACAACACGACACCTTGTTCATAAACATAAACCATATTCAGAGAAAAACCAAGTTACGACTGAGTTTCTTCACATTTTTCAGTATATATATATCTCTCGCTATCTGTCTGCTTCATGGGTTGATGAGGTTCTTGAGGTTCTCCTCCTGAGCATACCAACTGGGTACAATCTTGGAAAGGTGAGGAGACAAATCCTTGAAAGAGTTACGAATTGTCCCTTCTGCAACTCCAGTGGCAACCGATATGTCTGTCACACGTTCAAATTATTTACTTTAGGTAATAAAACATATGAACAATGGTGAATCCTCTCATCTTTGGTGCCAAAACATTCTGTTTTGCTTCTGTACCTTTGAGGGGTTTTTTATCATCTGAAAGCTGGTTGATTATGTAAATAACTGCTGCTGCAATTGAAATGGGACTCCTCCTGGAAAATGATACCG